CAATCAGTGTCCGTAGGTATGGTATGTGTTTTGCACCTTCGAAGTGCAAAGTACTTCTACAAGACTGGCAGGATTCCAATCCTGTACTCACCCTGGATGGTGAGCAGATAAATGTAGTCGAGAAGTTCGTGTATCTGGGTAGCTGCATAAGTGCTGGTGCGGGTGTGAGTGATGAGATCAATGCACGTATAGTGAAAGCCAGAGTGGCTTATGCCAATCTGGGCCATCTTTGGCGCCTTCGTGATGTTAGTCTGGCTGTAAAAGGTCGGATCTACAACGCGTCGGTGAGAGCAGTTTTGCTCTATGCTTGTGAAACCTGGCCTCTCCGAGTTGAGGACGTTAGACGACTCTCTGTGTTCGATCATCGCTGTCTCCGAAGGATTGCTGACATTCAGTGGCAACACCATGTCAGTAATGCAGAGGTTCGGCATCGTGTGTTTGGGCACAGAGATGATAATTCAATTGGTGTCACCATCTTGAAACACCGACTTCGGTGGCTTGGACATGTTCTACGAATGTCGTCCCAGAGAATTCCACGTCGTGCATTATTTGCCGACTCTGGGACTGGTTGGAAAAAGCGGAGAGGTGGTCAGTGCATGACATGGTGTCGTGGTATGAAAGAAAGCTGCAAAGGACTGGCTTCTGTCGGTCCTTCACGACTCCCTGGTTGGGGTCTGAGAGATGGTGCTACACAGTGGCTAGAGACGTTATCAGATATGGCTCAGAATAGAAGCCAGTGGCGATCCTGCTGTAACCTTCTTTTACTTTCTTCATAAAAAGTGGTTGTGTCTCCCTTACTTGAAAGATTTCTTCCGATTGTACCTTTCCGTTCCATCGTTACGACCGCACTACCTTTCACCAATCTCTTTGTTATCGTTCTCTTTTTCTTTTGTGCTCCTTAGTTTTTTTTTCTTTTCTCTCTTCGAATTTTCATTGTTTTGTGTGGCGCATATATATTGGCGCTCTCTTGTACCAATATTTATGTGCTCAAATAATAATAATAATAATAATAGTTGGCTCTTCACGAGCTTTGGTTAGGCGTCGAAGTATTATTGAAGCTAATATTTTAGACACTATATTAGTCAAACTGATTCCTCTATGATTGTCACAAGAGGACTTTTGTCCTTTCTTATAGACTGGCACAATCAGTGATTGAGACCAGTCAGATCGGATTACGTCCAGTTTCCAAATTCTACCTAAGACCTCGGTTAATCTCATTGCTAATACTGGACCACCATTCTTAAAAATCTCAGGAGTAAACCTGTCAGGGCCTGCTGATCTCCCTCGCTTCAGATTTCCTATAGCTTTTTCAACTTCGTAAAGAGACGGAGGACCTACATTAACTTGCCATTCACGTTGACTGGAGATCGTGGGAAACCGAAGTGTGGCTGAAGGCCAGTTGAACTGATCCCTGAAGTGTTCTGCACATCGATCCAATCTCCTGGATTGAGATTGTATAATATGTCCATCTTTCTCTGAGATTGTTTCGCTAACGGTCGGGTTCCTAATTCCGGTTTCCTTAACGAGTCTGAATAATTGTCTGCTATTACCTATTGCCGCTGCCTTCTCCATCTCTCTTGCTTCCGCTACCCATCACTGTTCGCGATCGTTGCGTAGACTTCTTGTCAGCTTGAGCTTAAGCTGACTCCGCTCTTCACTATGTTCAGAGCCAGGTGGAATGAGTTTCCGAGCATCTATCAGTGCGATAGATGCTGCTGAGATCCAGTGTTGCTCCCTAACCTTCTGGTTTACCTTACTAGCAGATATCACTGCTGTTTCCACAGCTTCACGCATATCATTCCATGCTGCCTCGGGGTGGGCATCACATACATGGCTGCCTAACTGTTTTCCTAGTTGTTCCTGCAATATACTCTTAGCTTGACTATCGTTAAGTAGGCCCCTAAAAGGTTTCCTTGCAGCGTCTTTCCTACGTCCAGTAAGACGCAAGCAAATACGCGCTCGCACTAGAGCATGATCTCAATCTAAGTATGTGCTCCAGAATGAGCGACAGTCTTCTATCGAGCCCCTCCGTCGGTGGCTGATGGCGATGTGATCTATTTATGTCCAACGTTGGGGGTCGCCATGTTAAAAGATGTTTTTCCTTATGCTTAATGTTAGTATTTGCAAGGAACAGGCGATTATCTGAGCATAGCTGCAACAGACGGTCGCCATTATCTGTTCTTTGAGCCACGACACCATAAGATCCACCTAGGTGTCTTTCCCTATCGCTTAGTTTACCTACTTGAGCATTAAAGTCACCGGCCACTATTACTACATCATAGCGCCTAGCTTTTCGGAGAAGGTCGGAAAGCTTTCTGTAAAACTCATCTTTTACATCATCTGAGCTGCAGTCAGTGGGAGAATAGGCAGAAACGACGAAGAGGCAACGACGGGTGTCCCTATCTTTCCGGATTCTTACTGTTCCGTTCAGTCGGACAGCGCACAAACGGCTGTCTACTGGGATCCACTCTAAGAGAGCTAATTCTGCTCTGGGACTCAATGTTATACCTACGCCGGCGAGTCCACGGGAAGCAGAATCAGGGCTTTCAGATACACGAAATGCGAATCGAGTCGGTTCTTTGTTTTGGCATGGTGAAGTCAAATGAATGACGCTACTCGGATCTTGTATGCGCGTTTCGGAGACGCAGCACAAATCGATGCCGCGAGATTCTAAAGTCCTAGTTAAGGAAGCCTGTTGTCCTATTTGGCACAGTGTTCGGACGTTAAAAGCTCTTACGTGTAGTTTAGAGCGTGGTTTCAGGAGACCAAAAATAACGTTCCGCGTACTCGAATCGTTTGCACTAGCGGTGTGAGGTGATAAAGGGACGTGAGAAGGGTTAGTCGTGGAGATAAGAGAGGTATTAGGAGGTACAGGAAGGATTTGAATGTGACCAACTTGGTCTCGTGTGCTGTTACGGGTATGAGGGCTGATGTCACTTCCCGGCTGCCCACACCGTGGAAGGGTATTTCTTGAGGAAGCTGAAAAGGAAATTGGATTAGTGTTGGTCTTAACGACCTGGGAGCGTGACCGCAGAGCTCAAGGGACAACTGCTTGAGGCCGGTCGCGGATTTAAATCATGAGTCAGTTGAAGCTAGACCACCATTGAAAACCTGGAAGCACTGAACGGCCGTTTCGTCCTAGTATGGGACTCCTCAGCAGTGCGCATCCACGATCCCGCATCATGCGGGGCTCGAACCCAGGACCTACTGGCTTCGCGCGCGAGCACTTAACCATTAGACCACTGAGCCGGCATCCAACGGTGTTAATGTCTAACTTCAACCAATGCACGGTCGCATCCACGATCCCGCACCATGCGGGGCTCGAACCCAGGATCTACTGGCTTCGCGCGCGAGAACTTAACCATTAGACCACTGAGCCGGCATCCAACGGTGTTAATGTCTAACTTCAACCAATCCACAGATTTAAATCATGAGTCAGTTGAAGCTAGACCATCATTGAAAACCTGGAAGCACTGGACGGCCGTTTCGTCCTAGTATGGGACTCCTCAGTAGTGCGCATCCACGATCCCGCACCATGCGGGGCTCGAACCCAGGACCTACTGGCTTCGCGCTCGAGCACTTAACCATTAGACCCCTCCTTGTGGGAAGGCAGCATCGCTGTCATGCTGGTTGTCTGAGGGAAACACCTTACTGCTGTCACACGTCTCTACAGTCAGCAGTACGACTTCGCCCTCAGACAATGAGTTGCTGCTTTTATTCTTACCGTTTACCAATCGACCTGCCTGGCATGGTAGAACCTACAGGAACATATGTTCCGGCCAATATAGCTCGGTTGGGTCATCACGATAGGCAAGCCCGACCACCGCGTCAAGGTAGCAGCTTCGGTCGGGGTTATTTGTTACTGATTGTGAGTGTATTGATGTCAAGTACTAAACGTAATGCACAAACTCTCCATAAGGCTGCACTATAGTCTATAATTTCTGAACTAGTGTATTAAAATTACTCAGAGGAAAAAAATTTCAACGGAAGTTGATTTTGGAAGGAGGTAATGCAGTAGTCGAATCTGGGTGAGTAAGCTGACAACATTCTATTACAATTTAAGAAATTATAAACAGAAATGAGATATTTTATTTTTTTATTTTATGTAAGCAACACATTCCCTATTACACTCTATTGAATGATAAAATGTTCATGTAATCAAATAGTTGAGCCCCGCATTCCATTTGTTTCCCATGATGTGGCGCAGTGGCCTCAATCATAAAGCTTTTTGATTCCACTATCTTACGAGGAGTAAATATAAGCCTAAAATATGCACAAGAAGGAGAAAAGAGAAATTTTGGTGTATTTGTTCATGTTTTGCATTACTTCAGATTCGTGACTTTCGAAGTAATTTTTTGTTTTTTACAGTCCTCTGTATTTTACTCGAGGATCAAGAGTGTAAAACTTATGGCAAAGCGACTGCGAAGTCAATGTAAAAGTGATCGAGTAAAGGTTTATCACTGAGTTGCTGCTACATTGAACCCGACCGTTGCTGCCACTTTGACATAGTGGTCGAACTAGTCTATCGTGGCTTGGACAATCGTTCCTCAAGGTCCTATCATACCATACAGGTTGGTTGAAGAACGGTAAGACTGATACCAGCAAATCCAAGGCCCAAAGGCGAAGTCGTACTGCTGACTGTACAGAGGTGTAACGATAGTAAGGTGTTTCCTTCAGACAACCGGCATAACAGTGATGCTACCTCATCATAAGGAGGGTGTGGGGTTGGAAAAGGTCGAGTCTAAAATGCACATATCGCCTTATTCCACCTATTTCCGTCTCTGGTGGTAAGGTTCCAATAAGTACGGAGCTAACACGAAAATTAATCACCTAGTCCGATGCATATATATGCCTGATCCCATACTGTAGGTGACTGACTGATTGCACTAACATATTTTCAGTAATAATAGTTTTTAAAAGTGTTCACATGGATGAGGTATATGAAATGAAGTTTATATTTAATAATAAGGATGAGATTATTATAGAAAATACGAACTCACTTGATTCGAGACAATGTATTTGGTATTTGCAAATTGACAATTTGAGTAGGGTAAAATAGGTTTCACAGCGATAGCTACATCACTTTGTTGAAACAATGCATAATTGGTTAATGAATAACAGCTTCCAATTAAGCAAATAGTATCCCCGTATTCTTTCATTATTTGAATCATTTCGCTAACAGCTTTTCAATAAGTAAATAAACAAAGAGAATGATATTGAGATGTTAAGTGAGATGAATGATTCATAAACAGTTCAACAGTTTTAGTAATGTTTGATGAGTCACTGCTGTTGATTTAATTAATCGAATACAGGTATAAGCGTTAACAAAGCAGAGATAGGATACTCTGATACTTGAATGTTAAAGCTGGTAAAGTGCAAACGACGTTTCCATTATACATCTTGATTCTGAACGTTAGAAAATAAACTCAAGTTTGTGTGCCAGACATCATTTTAGTGACAGGGATGAGTCCTCTGCTGTTTAATTAGTGATCTGAAAGGAAATGCTTTTATTGATCGTGAATTTTGGCAAGCGAGTAAAAGCTTTTAAACATGAATTTATTTTTCATTTCAAGTTAAAATCCCTAATACAAATGAATTATAAGAAAGTGTTCTTTGTAAACTAGTGACAGAATTTTGTAAATAGATAGAAAAAACAACGAAATTTATAGAGGTAGCTAAGGTAAATATCACTTTAAAAATTTTTCCAGTTTTTAAAGATGACAAAGGAAAGTTACAATTGCCTGAGATTTTGAGCTATATCTGTTAGCATCTCAAATAAAATCAAATACAAATAACCGTAGTTTAGTTGAGTGGGCAGTATTACTGATTTTTACATTATGAACTCATGACTAAGTTTTACTTACTGTTCTTATTTGGTGCTGAAGAAATAAAATGATAAAAGTGGGTGGATGGTCTTGAAACAGATAATAGAATAGTGTACTAAGAACCTATAATTTAGGTAATTAACTATGTCACCAGTCTACTAGGTTGTAATACATTCCACATACCAAGGTCAGAGAATCAGGTACTATCACTAAGTCACATATAATAATAATAATAATAATAAATAATAATAATAATAAAGAAATACTGATTTATAGTATTTAAAGTGCTCAGATGAAATGTATCGACTCATTTAGTCATTCCTGGCATCCCGTAACGTTTATTTGGAATCCGCCCAACAATTCAAACGTTAACATGTTCTAAATCGAACTAAAAAAGTCAGCAAATAGTTCTTTGAAATTTCAAACATTTTAAGGTCGTGAGAAAATAGTGACATAAAGTAAACTGTGTTCACAACTCTTTAATGATGAGGGTGATAGAGGCAAATTAGACTGGCTTTTACTCCAGTGACTAGATAATCATACAGAATTTCAACTGAAAGGCACTCAATTATTTAAGGTTTTCGGCTTTCAATATATATAAAATAATGACTGTTATAAGTGCAATAGTTAAGAACCACTTCAAAAATTCCCAACATAATACATGTTGGAAAACGTCTAAACAAATATACCGTAAGACATTCAGCAAAGATATATGTATCAAAATACGGGAAAATGTGTCATTGATGTTTACTGTAAAAATTTATTTTAACTGTATTCGAAAACGAAACGATCGGAGACTATATAGGTAAGCAAGTCATAGCGTTATACTGTACATGTTATTTAAATAATTATGTAATATACAACAATTAACCTTTAGGTGTACAATCAGTAAACAATGATACTTGTAATGGAACGTTATCGACATTTTCTAAATGTGGGCGTATGCTATCGATTCCACATGGAAGTCGGGACTGTAAAAGAAAGAGACAATGAAAACGTTAACTTAGTATCAAATAAAGTAGTTGAAACATCACAGAAAGAGAACTATTACTTCTTAAAATACAACGAACTGATCAAAAAGACAAATGGAATATATTATAACGACCGAAATGTTTACGACATATTGTCCTTCGTAAATAAAACAACAACAGAATAAAAAATCTTTTGAAAACTGATGCAACTACTTAATAACCCTGTTGATATTTATATCTCAAGATTTGAGCAACACTTACTATATAAAAGATTCGATTAGGTAAACCAAATGCATAAAATTCAAGTGCTTAATTTCTTGGTCTACAGAGTCACAATAAGTCAGCTTAAAGTGCCCTGGTACGGCCGAGAGTGGGGAGAGTTCGCTCTCCCTCTCGAAATACTCTCACACGGCCCCGCGTATACAGCCTCTGCCAGGGAAGTCCTACTCACTGCCTTCTCGTGACGGGGGTGTTGTTTACGAAAATGAGAGGACGAAAAGCGAATGTCCGGCGCTTTAACCGGATTCCAAACCAATAGTGCACATGGGCTCCAGTATCCTGCGGGAACAAATGGCGAGTGAACCAATTGTTGGTCACCGGCTTCCATGGGACTGCATCTCCTTACGATGCTCCACTGCCTTGTGGATCAGACCTTCAGGTCGAAGGCTCGGGGTGTGGCCCACTAAGAAAACCACCTGCTTCGGTTTGGGCACCCGGGCAGTATCACAGCCCTCACACATATCGAATGAGATTTGTGTGGCGCATATGTATTTGGTGCCTCTTTGTACCATTATCTATGTGTTGAAATAAAATAAAATAAATAAGAAGTCAGATGTAAAATGAGAGGGAGTAATTATATTCTCAGAAATATATGTGATCAGTGTAACGAGAAATTATTCAGACAAGTAGTCATTTTCTCAGACCTTATAACTTGCGGTAAGTGCTTAAGGTTCCGAAATAATACATCATCGTCAATATATACCAAGATAAAATACCTGTCTAATGCTCTCTGGATCTAAATAATTCGTAACAAAAAAGCAACAAAATCTGTATATGTGTTGAAAGTATATGTGATTCAACCATTATTTATACTGAAAAATAAAACCCAGTGTGTAATGATAACACAATCAAGATGCGAAAGGTTTTTAATGAATCATTATTTCAAGGCTGTTGAATGATAATTATCAGTATATGGTTGTGGAGATTGTCTTATTGAGATCATTAACTGATCAACCTTAGACCACCACTGAAAACCTGTAAGCACTGGAAGGCCATTTCGTCCCAGTATGAGACTACTCAGCAGTACGAATCCAGGATCCCGCATGCAGATGCTTGACATCTACACCACTGAGTCGGTATCCAGCGAACAATCCACGATATTACGCAACTATCTTCCATTGTCTTCAGTGGGTAACCGCCTCACACCCGACAGTTTAACGCCACTGATAGGTATTAAGAAGGAGACTGTTTGAAACCCGAAAACATTTAGTGATCTTTTCGAAACAAAGCTTAAATAAATGATAAAAACGAAAATTATAAATCTAAAAAGAATGGATGCAGACCATTAAGGTTCTTTATCTTGTTAAAATCCATAACAATATGAGAGGGAAAAGTATGATATTTTGAATTCAAGATATGTCAATGCTTGTCTAATTAAAGACACTTACTGGTACTCAATCAAATGGATAGTTAGCATGATCCTTAGATAACGGCTCAAACAAAAGTTGTTCCGATTTACGGGAATATTAGCATCAATAATTTACTGCTGATTCGTAATATTCAGTATGGATAACTTTCAATGCTTAATAGCGTATTAGTTTCTGTAAGACTGTGAATATAATTTGTAGATGAGAGCTATTATCCCATAAAGGCAAATTTGTGAATTAGATTCTGGTCTTGTGAAAGCAAACAACAAATTCCTCAAAATAAACATCGACTTTATAAGTTTAGTATTGATGTAATGATTTTTGATTATGTTATTTATGAATTGTAACATTATATGGATGTAAAATTAGACATTTATTATGTTCGATAATGAGATGACATTGGAATGTGAAGATAAAATTATTCTGAACACCGTTTCAACAAAAAAACTACAGAAAATTACCTTGTTCCTGACCAACAATTCCGACAATTTTATTTCTTCAGAATTATCACTTTGTCCATCTACTGAGAGCGATACAGAACTAGTTGAATTACTGGACGAGGACAAGTTATATGAACCGAATAATTCCTTTGGACCTATTTCGTTTGAACGAATCTGTTGAAGGTAACTGGTAGACACAGCATCAGTGAAATTATTGTTAATATGATCATGAGAGCATGAAGATTCAAAGTCAGAGTCAATTTGTCGGAAATTCAAACATGGAGAGATTGATTTCAAACAGTTTGCTTCCCAATATTCAGGAAATGGAGTAGATTGAAAGAACTGTGGATCAGATGTGGACCCGAATTTCTTCCCAAAATTTTGTAAAGTATAAATGAATAATAAATAGCTATTAACTACAGATTGTTATTGTTAACATCAAAAGTGTTTCATTGAAATTTTTATAGCACAAAGAAACATAAAAAGTTTAAGTCATTCTGTTCCATTTCGCTATCTACAAATAATTCCCCTACCTACAACTAAGAGAGGATTGTATCTAAATGGTTTAGGTATCTTTATCGCAATTGCTGAGTTGTAATTTAAAGTCAAAACATCAAACCACGAGGATACATGAAGTTGACAAGCTCTGATGACTCAACACAAAAAGCATGAGCATGCAAAGGATTCTGTCAGTCATCGAGTGAAACACTATATTTATAGACGCTAACAGTCAAATAACTAGTCAATCAGTCAGTAAGCTATAACGTAGGAACAGGCACATATATGCATCGGTCCAAGTTGACATACCTCATTAACACAACAAGATGGACACCGGATTCATGAAAATAGTTAATTCAGAGGTGGTAATATATAAAAGAAAGATTGCAATAAGGAAATAGTACAGGAAGAAAGAATTAGTTCGTAGAAAGAAAGATATGAAGCGATTTTAATCTCTTAGTTTAAGGGAAGACAGGGAGTGTATGCACCGACGCCATTGTGATCGATTCTGAGTCATGTCACAAAGAGTCTCCAACCATTGGTTACGATAGTCACGCAGACCCCAACCAAGTAGTCTGCATCTACCAACATGGCTCAGACTACAAGTTAGTGACTTCAAGCACTGATGCCACGTTTTGCTTTGGCCGCCCCTAGCTTTCTTCCAACCATCCCCAACACCAGTTAGCATTGCGCGTCGTGGTAATCGGTGTTCGGGCATACGTAACACGTGGGTCCAACCATCTCAGTCGATGAAGATTCACAACCTCATCAACTGATTTACCATCATTCCCTAATACCCTGCGTCTAACCTCACTATTACTTACCCGCTGATCCCAGCAGACGCCAGCAATATTTCTAAGGCATCTATAGTCAAATACTAGTAGCTTACGAATATCTTTAACTACTAATGACCACGTTTCGCAGCCGTAAATTAAAACAGAACGGACTGCCACGCAGTATACTCGTCCTTTTATTGATAGACGGATATCTCGCCTTCGCCATAGGTGACGTATGTTGGCAAAAGCCAAGCGAGCTTTTCGAATCCGTGCTGAGATTTCGTCAGACACCAACCCATTAGGGCTGATCAGACTTCCAAGATAAGTGAAGTTGTCAACACGTTCGACTACTTCACTCCCTATCCTAAGTTCAGGTGTTGACGCAGACCAGTCCTGAAGCAACAACTTGCATTTAGAGGGAGAGAAGCGCATTCCAAACATTCTGGCATTGTTGCTTAGTGCTACCAAAAAACTCTGCATTTTATCAGCGACTTCACCAAACAGGACTATGTCATCTGCGTATTCTAAGTCGATAAGTGGACCTCCTGGAAGGAGATCAATACCCGAGTATTCAGTAGACGAGAACGACATTTCCATCAATAGGTCTATGATGAAGTTAAACAGAAATGGAGAAAGTCGACAGCCTTGACGGACACCACTTGAGGTAGCAAAAGCAGATGACAGTTTGCCATAAGCTCTCACTCGACTAGTAGTGTTCGAGTAAGGAGCCTTTACAAGGTTAATATACTTCTGAGGTACGCCTTTCAATGACAAACACCGCCACAGAATCTCGCGGTCTACCGAGTCAACTGCTGCTTTTAAGTAAAGAAAGACCACCATTGTCGGACGTCGATAAGTATGCTTGTGTTCTAGAACCTGACGAATGGTGAATATGTGGTCGATGCAGCCACGACCAGGTATGAAGCCAGCTTGGTTTTCTCGTGTTTGCAGTTCACGAGTCTTAGTTCGGCGTCCGATAATTACTGAGGCTAGTATTTTATATACTATATTAGTCAAACTAATCCCTTTATGGTTATCATAGGATGATTTTGATCTTTTCTTATATATTGGGATGATCAGTGATTGCGATCAGTCAGATAGGACTACATTCAATTCCCAGATTTTAGCTAGAATATTAATCAACCTAATCGCTAAAACTGGACCACTATCCTTAAAGACCTCTGAAGCCAATCATTTTGCATAAGCTGCTTTTCCTCGTTTCAGATTAACTATAGCCTTTCGAACTTCTGTTAGAGTTGGGGGACCTACTTCAATTTTTTTGGTGGAGTTTTGTTCTCTGAGCTGGATGGTTTGGTCGTGGAGCTTTCATCGTTCTTCGGAACGACATCATCAGCACAAACTTCAGATAGAAGCTCCACGACCAAACCATCCAGCTCAGAGAACAAAACTCCACCAAAATCATCCACCTGAGCTACAAATCTTCACCATCTCAAGACCTACGTCAATGTTCTATTTATACTGTCTGGGAATGGAAGGTAGTTGTAGAGTAGCTGAAGGTCAACCGAACTGTTCTCTGAAATGTTCCGTCCATCGTTCTAAACGTCTGGACTAAGAGCAGATGAGGGCGTCGTCTTTTTCCGAAATAATTTCACTTACACTTGACTTATTAGTTCCAGTTTCTTTTATTAGTCTATAGAGCTGTCTTGTGTGCCCTATAGCCGCCGCCTTTTCCATCTCTTTTGCTTTCGTTGCCCACCACTGCTCACGGTCGTTCCTTAGACATTTTCTTAACCTAGATCTGATTTGTTGTCGCTCTTCATCGTATTCAGAGCCTAATGGGTTGAGTTTACGAGAATCCATCAGTGCAATAGACCTTGAGGAAATCCATTGGTTCTTTGTAATCCTGTGGTTCAAATCACTAATAGATGTCACTACTGTTTCCACAGCTGTTTGTATAGCTTTCCAAGCAACATCTGGGTCAGCCTCGTTTTCAGAACTACCTAAGTGTGACCTCAGTTGTTCCTGGAACTTACTTTTAGTTTTCTCGCTACTCAATTCAGTTCTAATGGGTCTTTTTACTGAGGCTATTTTGCGTCCAGTGAGGCGTAAGCAAATGCGCGTCCGTGTTAGGGCGTGGTCGGAGTCCAAGCAGGTACTAGTGGTTTTGCATGTCTATCTGTGTTCAGGATGTCATTAATACCAAAATAGAAAGAAACGACGAGATTGTGGAATCCTGAGCAACACTACTGCTGTATTGGATCAATGGAGATAATAAACAGTGATGGATAGTGACTAGCATTGGAATCCATGACGTGAATTTCGTCCTATTTGGGAATCGTCAGCTAGATGTACCTGCATTCCAGATGTTCACTCCGGGACTCGAATAAACGAAACTCGCGTCCTGGACTCCACTGCTAGTCACCATTCATCTATGCTTATAGTGTTTGTGACTTAATGCGATATCGAGGCAACTACCACAGAGTGCACATATGCCAATAGGAGACTGATCAATTGCAACCCTAAACATCAATGATAAATTGATAGAGATAATACTTTGTTTAGAGTTTTTAGAATGTTGATATACGTACGATATATTTTTTTGCGTATAGTCCTAGGTCAAAGTCCTATTCAACGAACGAGAGGTGGGGTAAATATCAAGAGGCGAAGTGACTGATGTCTTGGAATGAGCGAGACGGTGTTCAAGAATCAGTTTGGGTAAATGTTCAGAAAGCAGTAACTATCAAACATCGAGGAAGTTAGTAAATATGTGACCACAGATTGCTTTACTCTGGGTCTACAAAATGAAAGTGAATGACATTATCAATTTCGGTGTGAAAGGCTAAACATCGAAGAATACAGTTCGAAAAGGAATGAATTCGATAAATAAAAAGTACGAAATAATATTGAAGCTCGAGGATAAGGGGGAGATAAAGAGGAAGCTCATCTGGGTCACTGTGGCTAATTCTGGCCACTCAATGTCTCCAATTACTGATTGAGGTTGACCCAGACCAGTCCCGAAGATACATTTTGTATTTACAAGGGGGAAACACGTCGCAAACATTCTTGGACACATCATGATGCACGGCGTTCGAAATCTGACACTGATACACAACGTGCTACGCGCCAACCCCCACTCCCAACTTACTACTTGAAGTCAAGAGTGAAGGAGAAAGTCTACTAGGGCACCAAATAACATGCATAAACACTCATATATAGACAGTTTTATCCCTTGAAAATCAACCCATTTCTTAGCCAATGGTATGTATTTGTCCTTTAGGGCATTTCTAATTATCAAGTGACCCTGATGATTGGCACGCTATAGCAGGATTGTCACTCGAAGTAGCCAGAAGGCTTTACAGTATTTCTGGGTCTCCAATGAACACAACCATATCATCAGTATATTCCAAGTCAACAAGTCAATCTCTTGGTAGATCAGTCCCTAAAAACCCAAACAACGTAAGTTTCCTCTCAAGCAATGTCTATGATTTTGGTAAGTAAAAGAAGTAGAGTCCTAATAAGCACTACTCATTGTTTTTAGTTCTGCTAATAATCTGTCATAACCTTAAATACGACTGTTGGAGCTCGAGCAAAGAGCCTTCAGATGGTCTGCGTACTTTTCTAGTACATAGTTCAATTAAAAACTGCTTAAAAACCACCTGGTATACGGAGTTAAATGTTGCCCTCAGATCGAGAAAGATGATTGGTTAGTCAAGTGTCGGTACGTATGCATGTTCTAAATTCTGCCAAAAGATAAAGCTCTTCCGGATACATACAAATCTAATAACGAAATTGGCTTTTCTCGTATTTGCTGATTGTTAACTTCTTTTAGGCGTCAACTAATTCTCGGGACTAATCCTTTAGACGCCATATTCCTTAAAGTTACTTCTTTATGGATATTACGATGGAAAACTAGTCCGTTATTAAAGATTGAGATGACCGACGATTGAGACAAGTAAGACGGGACTACATTTAGCTGTCCGGCTCTAGAAAACATTGTAGTCAACTCCTAAAGCTGGACTACCATTCTTGGAGATTTCTAGAGTTAACCGATCAGGCCCTGCTGCTCTTCATCACCTTAAACTAAATAGTCTTTCCAAACTTGCTAAGTTATCGGATTTGTGTCAATCTCCCATT